TACTTCTTCATGGCCATTTCAGAACTCATTCCATAGAAGAGTTTGTACTTCTTGCCATCCCTCTCGATGAGCTCACCACCTGACTCACTGTGCCCAGCCAGCATGCCACCGAGCATCACAAAGTCAGCCCCTGCCCCTGCCAAAATCAAAGAGGTAGGAAAGATATTCCTCTGGCCAAGATGCCCACATGGCCCCCCTTCAAAAGCAACTCATGCCAAATTCTCAGTCCTGACAATGTCTCCAGCATCTTCCCAGCACTGTTTTTCTCTTTGACCCATATCCACAAAGGCCTGCTTTGACCTAGTTTATTCCTCTGGGCCTGATTTCCTCAAGATTTTAAAAATAGCCTCTGTTGAGATTCCCTGCCCAACTTCTGCTTTAATTGTCTTCTCATTTTTTTTTTGTTTTGTTTTGTTGCTCCCATCTGAGTAAAACATCACGTGTCCCAAGAATAATAGTCTCATTTTAATGTGAAGAAAAACTGAAAATGCAGGCTTACAGTCCCATTCTTCAGAGTCAGTGGCTCAGGAATTTACAGATGGCCCTGGCTCACACTTGGAGCATCTAAATTAGTCTCAGGATTTCCCCTGCTGGCTTACCCCAGGCGATACCACAGGCTTCAGGGTCACTACTTCATATTATGAGAGAATCTGAATGGCTTCCCAAGTCTCTCCTACCCTGACCCTAGATCCTGAGAGGTAATATATCCTCTTCTACAGGATCCTTCTTCTGTGCCCTCCCTAACTCCTTACCAAAAGCTTTGGCCACATCCCCAGGGCAGCTGCAACCTCCATCCTGCAAAATAAAGAGTACAGTGAAGAGACAGCATGGATTTTCCAAGCGCTCTCAGTAATGTCCCAACAGTCCACTTCAAAACTGACATGCACTCAAAGAGTCCTGACCCATATCTACTAGAGCCTCCATACTGCAGAAAACCTGTTGGCAGCCTCATACCCTAAGACTTTGGGCCTTACTGAAATGATGTGGCCTTTGAGGCCATGAGCAGCATCTGCACACTCCATCACTGCACTGAGCTGTGGATACCCCACTCCAGTTTTCTTCCGGGTTGTACACACAGAGCCTAGGAAGAACATGCTAAAGGTGAGAGTGAATTCACTCTGTGAATTTGCCATTGAAGGTGAGAGTGAATTCACTCTGTGAATTGGCCTCAATGAAATAGCTTACCTGGCCCAATTCCCACTTTGATGATGTCAGCCCCAGAGAGGATCAACTCTTCCACCATCTCTCCTGTGACCACATTCCCTGCCTGGGACAGAGCAGTCAAAATAAGAACATCCTTATGGTCAGAAATGGACACAAGCTTATTTGCTCTTACATGGCATGCCTGGACTATGACTTCATATTATGAGAGACTAATACAAAGAAAGGATACCTAGGTTCCCTATGTTGGGACCTCTGAGGGTTTCTACACTAGCTACTTCAAAGGACCCTGCTCTCTATACTAAGCTAGCTAGATAGGGAGCAATGGTGGAAACTGGTGTCACTGTTGAAATGAGGGTAAAGCCAGGGTCCAGGATGCACTTTACTATCTCAGGCAGCAAGGTGGTATGACCCACAGGGGAGAAGTGAGATGGCATGAAGAAGTTTTCAGTGAAGCAAAAGAAATTACTAGATCAAACTCAGATCTGATAAATCTGAGTAGATTTATCTCCAACATACCCTGTTCTGTCATAGAACCTCTCTGGTTTTAGGGAAAGGGGAAGACATGGTAATGTAGGCTAAATACTCCTCCCCACTGTATTTGCTTTTGATGGTCGTCAGAGACCTTCAATGCTATGAAAGAAATGGGTTCTTGTCATCCCCTCCACAAGCTTGTAAAAAAATTAAACATTATTTCATGTGATACCTTTTATGTGATTGTCCATTTCAATGGGCAGATGTATATGTACCAGAGTAATGTACAATGCATACATGTTCCATCATGGTTTTGTGAGTGATATCAAGGACACTGGATTTACAAAAACTAAATCAAGGATTGGAGATATTGCACTGCTAATAAACATTTTAGACTTGGAATCATGGTATAATCAATCACCCAGTAATGTTATGTGGACTAGAAATAGCATAATGTAACAGAAAAATGAATTGATGTAACAAAATGAAGTGTTAAGAAAAAGAGAGGAAGGTAACAACTACAGGATAATAAAAACATACCATGATGGTGTGTTGAGGGAAGCGCTTCCGTACATCCTTTACAAATTCAACAAAGTGTTCAGAGTAGCCATTTGCCACATCTAGGCATATATATTTCACCTGGGGAATAGCTTCCAGGATCTGTTCCAGTTGCTCAAAGTCAGAAGAGCCTGTCCCTGAACTGGCAGCCAGATACTGTAGAAGAAACACAGTCACTGACGTGAGAAGCATTAGACTAGCCTGTGACATTATATTATCAGAGATGATCTAGTGACCAAAGGGGTAAAGGGTGAGGGTTGGTTCCTGGCAGCCAAAAAATGGTTCCCTGAAAAACGGACAAGGAAGGGGGCAAAAGGGGCCCAGTGTTACCTGAAGACAATCAGGATTCTGGCCAGCAAACTCTTGCCACTGATGAAGACTGTAATGTTTATGGACAGCAGTGAAGAGGGAGAACTGGGAAGAGAAGCATTCAGAAAGGAGAAAACATTATCAGGATCTTTTTCTCTAAAAATAGATCTTTATACTCTTCTGAGAGAAAAAAAACAATTGGAGTTTGGAAGGAAAACAAGTTCTTGGCTGAGCTGGGATTTGAGTTCGACCATTATTATCCCTACAAATTCCAGTAGGGCTTTTTCAACATGAAACTAGTATTTAATTATTCCTACTAAAGTACTGAATCATCTGGATTTCACCAACTAGCATATACATTGCTTTTGACCTAAAAGGTGAGAAAGACAAGCTCTTGGTGAAAGGGGACAAGTAGCAGATATGTAGGAAGCATGAAGAGGCTAGATGAAGCCAGTGATTGTCTGCGCTTACGTAGTCCCTCCTCCTAAGTACTCTAGTACTAAATCTGTCTTTAGTATCTTCTGATTCACTTGCCAGCAGTAATTCAGTGAGTACAGATGCCCACAAAAAGTAAAGCCTTAAGCTTAGTGGAGCTGTTAAGGGGCCATACCATCCTTTATTTCTTCAGGAATAAGGATAAGTATTCTTTGATGGGGACATAGACAAGAAAAGTTATTTCAGTCAACCAAGTTGTAAGACAATGACTTATCAGGTTTATATTCTCTTGCTCAACAAATGACAATGTCCCAGTACTTTGAGAAAGCCATTCAAAAGCCACCGTGGCCAGGCTCATGCCTGTAATCCCAGCTACTTGGGAGACTGACTCAGTAGGATCACAAGTGCAAGGTCAGCCTGGGCAACTTGGTGAAACCCTGTCTCAAAAAAAATTTTAAATGTATTTCAATGATACAGCATGACCCTTGGGTTCAATCCCAGATACTGAGAGAAACAAAACAAAACAAAACAAAAACCACTGTACACAGTGTTTGTGCTTTAAAAGTGCAAACATGCAAACAGACATGAGACAGCACAAATGTTGCAATGCACCAGAAATGCAAGGAAGTCATGTATCAGCTAGCAGCAGAAAGTGCTATACTTAGAGATGATCATCAATATCATCTAGCTAAAATCTGGTATTAAATTCTACCTTCTCAGCAACACTGTTAATATGTTGATTAAGTTGCTCTAGGAGGTCAACATGCCTTGGAGATGCAGTGGCCTAGTGTGGCATGAATACATCTAATATATAACATAATCTAGGAAAATATGTTTGCTTGCATCCGACCTTTTCATAATTATTAGGAAACTTAGCTCTGTCTCTAAAATCTGACTTTAGTACTCATCAGCAATACTGAAAAGCCAGTCTCAATATAAAGTATTAAGACATTCTCCAACAAGGTTCATGTATTACAGCATGCTGGTTAAATCTCCAGTCAGATTTACCATTCCCCAAGTCTACTGGTCAGGGAAAGCAGACTATGGGTAATAGCAGGATTCCTAAGCAGATAAGTTAGAAAAGCAACAAAAATAATAAACTGCATAACTATCAATCTCAGGAGAAATAAAAACAGACATTCCACAGAGACAGCAATTTGAAACAGGAAGATGGATTCTTTAAGGCTAACAGAACCACAATCAGCAACAAAATCCATCAACTATGGTTACGTGGATTGACCAGTAGAGTGCTTGTATTCTCAAAGTGTCCAGGTAACCTTCTCAGCTAACAAGTACAGAGGCAGGTAATACTACTGACAGGAGCAGTGTCTTCCATTTTCAAAGTGAACAACCTGCATTTAAGAAAAAAAAAACCACTCCATTTGGGGAATATCCCAGAAATTCCCAGGAACCTAGGACTTATAAGAAAAAAAAAAAAAAAAAGGAGAAAAGAAGACATAAAAGTAATAAGCTGCTTCTCCCTAGAATATTCTATTTAAGAATTTTTGAATGTTCAACCTGTATTTAGTTTCTAGACTAAACCAGTGAATATGAATAATGTGTTATGAAAAATGGTGTGTTTGAAGAGATGCCTGTGATTGAAACAGGTAACCTGGGTGGTGGGAAAAGTTGGTAAGGTGTATAAAGATAAGGAAAAAAAGTTCTGTTCATTTATCAGAAAAATGGGGCAAAATTTCCCAGTGCAGGGGTGTCCACCTGTAATCCCAGAAACTGGAGTGGCTGAGACAGGAGGATTACAAATTTGAGGCCAGCTTCAGTAACTTAGCAAGGTCCTAAGCAACTTAGTGAGACAAGTTAGTTTCTCAAAATGAAAAACAAAAAGAGCTGGGGATGTAGCTCGGTGACAATGTGTCTCTGAGTTCAATTGCTGGTACAGGGGAAAAAAAAAAAAAAGGAGGGCAAAATTTAACTCTGAATTTCACTAGTTCAGATAGCCCTTATTTATTTATTTTTGGTACCGGGGATTGAACTCAAGGGTACTCACCACTGAGCCACATCCCCAGCCCTATTTTGTATTTTATTTAAAGACAGGGTCTCACTGAGTTGCTTAGCGCCTCGCAGTTGCTGAGGCTGGCTTTGAACTCGAGATTCTCCTGTCTCAGCCTCACAAGCCACTGGGAATACAGGCATGCGCCACCACGCCCGGCTTAGATAATGGGGCCTTAGTACTGGAGAAAACAGTAAATAGAGCATCCTAACTGCTATTTGCCAGAGGTAACTGAGAATGGGGAGAGGGATGCAAATGCTTCTATAGCCATTGAGGCAACTAGACACCTACCTTACAAAGAACCTTGGCCATTTCAAAGGTGCCTACAGTATCCATATTAGCAGCAATGATCGGGACGCCATTGTACATCTGCTTTGAATTCCGAAATGAAAAGGATCTTGTGAGATCCACCTGCAGATGTGAACAGAAAACAGTATTTTATTCATCCGGAAAACACATTAGGACAAGGACCAGGCAGTTTTCTTGCTCCTGCTTCTGTCCAGGAGCTTAGGGTTAAAAAAGAGGAAATACTAAAGCTGGCTTACCTCACTTCGAGACTTTAGGGTGCTGCGTTTTGGCCTCAAAAGAACATCCTTGAAGTCTAGTTTCACGTCATTGTCGATATGAGGCATGGCGGGGTCTGGAATCTGAGTATTGGAGGGTAGGAAGTCAGGAGGAATCTGAATCAATATTCCCTTGGGCCTTAATGTCCTGATGTGGCTGGGACAGGATGCATCTCTCCTGGCTTAAATCGTGGAAGGTCGGGTTATAAGGCAAGGTTTGGGCCCTGAAGCAGATCGCCGGCACTCGTCCTGGCCTCGATGCTTCCATCTCAAGTACAGATTGTTGGGTAGAATTGGGTTGGTGAACCGAAGTGTTCACTTTACCCAGCTACTTTCCCTGCCCACCCCTGCAATGAGGAGTCAGGTTTAGGGAAAAGAAATGGGAAGGTTTCAATCAACTTCCGGCATGGGGGTACTCACTTCCTGTTGCCTCTGTGTCAGTTGACCGAAACTCCCCTAGCTTAGCTACTAGACTCGTGCAGCCCCGCTGAGCCTCGTGGGGTCACGCCAACAGGTTCCGCTAATTGCCGGTAAAACAACTAATCGAGGAATTCCACCTTCGGGAGCGGCCTTGCGAGGCCTTCTGGGTAACTGAGTTCACACACTGAAGTTGCCGTTGGATCTGAGCGGCAGGAAACTACAACTTCCAGGGTGCAACGAGCAGAGCGGCTTTCTGGCATGATGGGAGAAGTAGTTCGTTTTGCCCCAGCTTTCCGCTAGCCCTGACTCCTTAAGGATTCTCAGAATTAGGAAAGCGTCATTTCTGCTACACTTAATCCGGCTGCGTTATTTTATTTACAACGCAACTTAAACGAAGCGCGGGAGCAGTCGTGAGCTTTTCGGAAACCCTGTAGAAACGGGGGGGGGTGTGGCCAGAGGGTGACCCGGAAGCAGAAGTGACTCCCACAAGCGGAGTGTTAGGAAGCGTCGGCGGCGACCGCAGCGGGAGAAGCAGCAATTTATCTGTTTGCAGCCACAATCTGGGAAGAAGATGCTAATTAAAGTGAAGGTGGGAGCACTTCCACGCTTGCCAAGACTCAGTGGTATTGGGCTGGCCGCTGCGCCTTACGGGAAAAGCGGGGAAGGAAAACCACGCCTTATCCTGGAGAGTGCTGACAGCCTCGGGGCTCAGCGCGAGGGGTCATGGGAAATAGGGGGACCCCGGTGGGCTTTGAGAGCTGGAGGCTGGCCCCGCCTGACGACCCTAGGGTCTCGCTTCATTCGAACCCGCTCTGTCTAGAGAAAGTCTAGCAGCAGCTTGCCACCCCTATCCCCGGATTCTTGAGAAAAGCTCTGCCCTTCATTCTTCATGCCCAGGTTATCTGCTGCTCGCAGCCCCTAATGTAGGCTATCTCCAAGCACAGTACTGAAACATTAGCTTGGGAAAACTGGAGGTCTCCCAAAGGCTATAGACTATAAGCCTTTGCTGGTGGTTGCCGAGATGTGTGTAAGCCATTCTTGAGGAGCTGGGATTCAGTCGTCTTTTGCTTTTCTGAGCTGTGCATCGCTTTCTTGACTGAGGCAAGTAGTTACGGTTTGTTAGTTCTTGGTACTAGCTGTCTTCCTTATTTTCATCTCTCATCTCCTGTGATAGTTCTTCACCAATTTTTAACTCCTCTTATTTTCTCTTTTGTACTTTTAGCCAGAGGGGGGGAAAAAAAAAACCCTGCAATCGACACAGTCCAACACTAGTTTGCCTTTTTATAGCTTAGTAATTCTGTCCTTATTTGTCATAGGCCATTCTTTTTTTTTTTAATTTTTTTAGTTGTAGATGGACACAATACCTTTATTTTATTTATTTTTATGTGGTGCTGAGAATCGAACCCAGGGCCTTGTATGTGTTAGGCCAGCGCTCTACCGCTGAGCCCCAGCCCCCGTCATAGCCATTCTTAAGCTTCTTTTCTAGTCCTTCCAAATTATCTCTTGCCAGAGAGCATGTTGAAAATCATTGTTTTTCAGACTTTTTGAAACCTAAAAAAGAGTTGTAAAATCAACTCTGTGAATTGCAAGCACCATTAAAAAAAGAAAAGATCAAGGTATACTGCTGGGTAAGGGTATTGTTTTGTGAAGCTTGTTTTCTTTTTTTAAATATATATATTACACGCATGTGTTACTATTCATATGTGTTTCTTTTGTTAAATGTTTTTTCATTTTTTTTAATGTCAACCCACACTAAGAAGTTTTAATATTAAACACAACTTTCTATGTGTGATACCTTCTAATATTTTTAGTTCTAAGTTTGTTTTATTACCCACTGGTGGGTTAAGACCTACAGTTTAAAAACTACTATGTTCCAAATGGATTTCTCAAACTTCAAAGTGTATTAGAATAGCTGGGGAGTCTTGCTGAAATGCTGATTATGATTCTGTGGGACTAGGATGGAGTATGAGAGTCTTCTAGCAGGAAATGATGATTGCTGTTTATCTGAAGACTATACTTTGGTTATCAAGGTTGTAGATTTTACCTTTTTTTAAATCCATTTTTACAGTCATTTAAAATTTCCAGTCTCCTTCCCTGCCACACTTTGCCTTCTGTTTCCTATCAGATCTCTGTCCTCCATCTCTTTTTTGTTTACTTCATTCTTTATATATTAAACACATGAGAGCAGTTTGTTCAATATTAATTACTATGTAAATGATAGCTTTTGTGGGGGTTCCTTTGTGAATTATCCACCTTTCAATTGTTGTTTCTGTGTAACTGAAGTCAGTAACTGTGTAACTGACTTCATCCATATCTTTCTGTAATCCTTTACAATTAAATCCTTCCTGATTTAAATCTTATAACCTAATCTCCGTGATCCTAATTTAAGCACATCATCTTCTGTCATAAGTCATCTTCTCTAGGACCCATTTCATATGTTAATGCCCTTGATTTATCACGTATCTGGAACACAATTCTTTAGAATCATTTCTCTTCTATAGTACTTCATTTTTCATATGAAACCAATTTATGCATTATTTTTTTTCCCATCACATTACTTTCCTGCAGGTCTGGGGTTCATTAACATATATCCTTAGCTGGGTGTTGTGATGCACACCTATAATCTCAGCTACTTAGGAGGCAGAGGCAGAAGGATTGAAAGATTGAGGCCAGCCTCAGCAACTTAAAGAGTTCCTGTATCAAAATAAAATTTTAAAAAGGGATGGGGATGTAGCTCAGTTATAGAGCATCCCTGGGTTCAATCCCCAGTACAAAAAAAAAAAACACCAACAAAAAAAACCCCAAAGCCTTAAATCCTTGTTTTCTCTGTGAAAGTTCTATTTTCTTACTTCCATTCCTTCTTTAAAGTGTATAGTCTAAACCAAGACATGGTGTACCAAACCATAGTGTACAGAGGTCTTCTTTAAGCTTCTTTTGATCATATTGTTCCCTAACCACACATCTGGCATTGGTTTCCTCTGATAGCTGTGTTTACTAATCTTGTTTTCTCATTCATTTCTCATCCATGTTGTCTTTTTTTTTTTTTAAAGAGAGTGAGAGAGGAGAGAGAGAGAGAGAATTTTTTTTTATATATTTATTTTTTTAGTTCTCGGCGGACACAACATCTTTGTTGGTATGTGGTGCTGAGGATCGAACCCGAGCCACACGCATACCAGGCGAGCGCGCTACCACTTGAGCCACATCCCCAGCCCCCCATGTTGTCTTAATATAATAAAATTATATTCAGCCGGGCATGGTGGCACACACTTGTAATCCCAGTGGCTCGGGAAGCTGAGACAAGGAGAATCATGAATTTAAAACCAGCCTCAGCAATAGTGAAGTGCTAAGTAACTTGGTGAGACCCTGTCTCTAAATAAAATACAAAAAGGGCTGGGGATGGTGCTTAGTGGTTGAGTGCCCCTGAATTCAATCCCTGGTACCCCCCCCCAAAAAAAAAAGATAAATAAAATGTACAGTTTTTAAGGGTTCAGTTCAGCGAATTTTTAACAGTAATATAAACCCATGTAACTACAAGCTTTAAAATATTTTCATCCCTTTCCCCCACCCCAGAAAGTTCTGTAGTTTAGTTTTGCTTGTTTTAGAACTTCATATAATAGAATGATACAGTACAGATAGATAATTTTTTTTTTTTTCTTATTGGAGACAGGGTTACTATATTCCCTAGGCCAGGCTGAAACTCAGTCCTGCCAACCTCCCACGTAGCTGGGATTACGGGCATATGTCACCATGCCTGGCCAATATATAATTGTTGTGTCTAGATTCTTTCAGCATTATATCTATTGTAATGTGTATCTACAGTTTGTTCCTTTTTTTTACTGAATAGTATTCCATTAGATAATTATATCATAGTTGTTTATCCATTCTTCTGTTGATAGGCATATGGGTTGTTTCCAGTTTCTGGCTATTATGAATAAGACTTCTGTAAACATTGTTATACAAGTCTTTTTGTGGATAAATGTTTTCATTTCCTTTGGATAAATACCTAGGAATAGAATTACTCAGCCATGTGGTAGGTATATATAACTTTGAAAAGAAACTGCCAAACAGTTCTCCAAAGGGTTGCACTGTTTTGCCTTCCCACCTGCAGTATCTGAACATTTCACTTTCTCTGAACCCTTGCCAATTTCTACTGATCTCATTTCTTAGCTATTCTTGTGGGCATGTTACCTCATTCAGGTTACATTGATCGTTAATTTTCACTCACCATAGCATTTTGTCATAGTCTCTTGTATTTGGACAGTAATATTCAATATGGCACTTCTTTGTGTGCGGGTTTGTTCTTTTTTTGTGTCTTAATTGTTTCTTGGCTGTAAAATCTTCACTTTAAGAAGCCTGGATCACAGCTGGGTGTGGTGCTGCATGCCTAGAATCCCAGTGACTTAGGAGTTTGAATTAAGAGGATTGCCAGTTTGAGGCCAGCCTCAGCATCTTACTGAGGCCCTAAACAACTTGGCAAGATCATGTCTCAAAATAAAACGTTTAAAGGTCTGGTGATGTGGCTCAGTGGGAGAGTGCCTCTGGCTTCAATCCCTGTTACCCAAAAATAAATAAATCAATAAATCAATAAATAAAAGGGGCTGGGGATATAGCTTAGTGGTAGAGTGTCCCTGGGTTCTCCCCACCCCCCCGTACCCCACCCCCACAATTTTAACTAGTTATTTATGTGATAAAGGAATATAATTTTATAAAAAATTTAAACAGAGATAAAGGGAGAGTTACCCTTGATAAAGCCTTCTCTCAAATCACCGCCCTTTTTGAAAAATAATCACAATTAAGAGGGGTGTGTATATTTCTAATTCTTTTTTTTTGTGCATATGCATGTGTCTGTATAAAGAAAATGTTATGTAATTATACATTCTTTAAAGAAATTATACATCATTTATGGGGTTGGGGTTGTGGCTCAGCAGTGTAGTGCTCACCTAGCATGAATTAGGCACTGAGTTCAATCCTTAGCAACACATAAAAATAAAAGGTATATGTCCCCCTAAAACTAAAAAATAAATTTAAAAAAATCTTTAATAAAATAGAATTATACATCATTTGTATCTTTCCTTATTATATAATGTATAATTGTATAGCTGTAACATTGTTTAATTTTTTTGTGTTTTTTATTAGTGCAAATCATTTATACATAATAGTGGGGTTTATTTTGACACATTGATAAATGCATATAACATGATTTGCTCCATTTCAATCCCCTGTACTTTTCCTTTCTCTGACAGTTTTCTTATAACAGGTTTTACTAGGCTGTTTCTAGTGATATGCTTTCACAAATGTCACTGCAATAAACCTTACATGTGCCTCTGGATACATGCCCAAATTTTTCCTCCAAGTTGGTAACCTAGAAATGTAATTAATTGAAGAGTCTTTACGTAGCCAGATTGATGACACATACATAGATGTGATTCTTGCAACTCGGGAGGCTGAGTAAGGAGGGTCAGGTTTGAGACCAGCCTCGGCAACTTATCCAGACCCTGTCTCAAAATAAAGATAAAAAGGCTGGGGATGTAACTTAGTGGTAATGCACCCTTGGATTCAATTCCCAGCATCAAAAAATTAAATTTAATTTTAAAATTAAAAAGGGTAGGAGATGTGACTCAGTGGTAGTTGCCCCCTGGTTTAAATTTCCAGTACCACACACATACCAAAAGAGAGAGAGAGAAATAAAGGACTTTCTGGTATCCTAGAGAAGTCTTTGAATTATCTGAAAGGTGATTTCTAATGTTGATATTTATTCTGGAGCAGTCTTTCTGACTTGAAGAAATACTTAGAATACCTCTCATTCTTGTATCATCCAATAAAAAACAAAACAATATTCTTACTGATTTGGATTGTGGAGGGGACAGAGGGAGATGGCTTGTGGAAACAGGAGGATCTAATGGTTCACAGAATCTTGCCCTACGGAAGTCATCCACAGCCTAAAACTATTTGATAATACAGTTATGATCAAAGCCTTCTGATTCTCCAAAGCAACCTTGCTGAGAATGTCCATCTCTTAGAAGTCAACAGAGAATAGGACAGTCTGTTTTACCTAGAAGATAAATTATATTTTGGATTATAGGACTTATAATAACATTTGCCTTTCAGACGCTGACTGGAAAGGAAATTGAGATTGATATTGAACCCACAGACAAGGTGATGTATGCCCAACACCCTTCTCCTTGCCTGTGTCTTTATTTGAGTGTGCTTATGAACTTAGTCCATTTGCTGTCATGCTATCTGTATAGTTCTTGTTCTTCCCATTTCCACGGTTCTTTCCTCAAGCAGCATCTGACTACTTGCTCTCTAAAGGTGGAGCGAATCAAGGAGCGTGTCGAAGAGAAAGAGGGAATTCCCCCACAACAGCAGCGGCTCATCTATAGTGGCAAACAGATGTGAGTTTGGAGGGAGAGTTAGGGTAAAGTAATGTTATGTGAAAAGGAAGTGGGGTCAAGTGCTTGAGATGGGTCAGGCCTGCCTCTTTCTTGCTCCTCTCTCTCTCTCTCTCTCTCTTTTTTTTTTTTTTTTTGGTAGTTGTAGATGGATATGGTACCTTTAACCTTTATTTTATTTTATTTTTTTATCTTTATGTGGTGCTGAGGATCGAACCCAGGCCTCACACATGCTAGGCAAGCACTCTACCACTGAGCTACAATCCCAGCCCTTCTTTTTTTTATTATTTTTTTGGTGCCTTGAACCCTTTGGCAGTTTGATAAAGCTTATAGAGTACTTCTCAGGACAGAGAAATTTTTTTAGTATAGAATAAAATATGTGGAATTAGAAACTAATTATATTGAACTACAGTTATCAAATTATGAAAACAAATGTGGTATAATAACATGTGCTTCTTTAGTAATAAAGATCTAGTAGTGGGTCTAATAACTGCTGTAATTTTGAAATATTTTCAAGATACCTGCAAACATTGTAATATGATATGGACATATCTAATTTCTATTGTTAACAAGTTACTTACATTGCCAATGCTACTATGAGTTTTTATCCTTTTTTTTCCTGTTTTCAAAATTAAAAGAAATAGAGGTTAGTAAAAATAAAGGTTGAATTTTTTCTCATCCAAGTTCACAGACTTCCCTGAGAGAACCATGAAACCCAGATTAAGAAAACTTGTTCTAGCTGGGCATACTGGCTCAGCCTGTAATACTAACAACTCAGGAGGCTGAGGCAGGAGGATCGTAAATTTGAGACCAGCATCAGCAATTTAATGAGACCCTAAGATCTTGTCTTAGACTGAGGATGTAGCTCATTGGCCCCAGGGTTCAATCCCCAGTATCAATAAACAAATAAACTTTTTGGGCTTTGGATATAGAGGAGTAACTTAGCAGCTTAAGGATATAACACTAGTTTATCATGCTTGAAGCCTTGGGTTTGATCCCCAGCATGACCCCCCCCAAAAAAAGAGAGAGAGAACACCTATTCCAGATGGTATTTCTAATGCCTCTTTTGCCCCTCTGTAGGAATGATGAGAAGACAGCAGCTGATTACAAGATTCTAGGTGGTTCAGTTCTCCACCTGGTGTTGGCTCTGAGAGGAGGAGATAGTCTCAGGCAGTGACGGACCTTCCTTCCAGTTCACCTCCTTATGCCGTTGCTCATAATGAGGCATCATGTATCCTGTCACTCTCTGGGACACCAGAGTCACTCCCCCCTCCCCTGGATGCCCAGTCTTGTGTGTGGTGGGAGAATATGAGGACCCCAGGATGCAATGTTCCTGGCCCAAAGGGCCCCTGCTGGCTATTGGGTTTTAATTTGCAGTCCTGTGTGCTTCCCTCTCTTATGGCTGTGTCCTTAGTTGTCAATAAAATTTCCTGGCCTCCTGTAATCTTTTTCTGTTGCACAAATGTGACTGAAATAAAAACAGACCCAATGATAACCGTTTACACTAGGTTTAAGGAGCAGTACCATGAAGAGCTGGTGCCCTTAGAGGGTTTATCACACTCTAGGAAAGCCCACTCAGGTGTATGCTGTTGAGGCTGGTTCATGAGAGCCACTTCTTGCCACCTATTTCCAACTCCATGTAAGTGACTTTGTGTTGGTGGAAATTCGCCCTGATAGGAATAATTATAGGGACTGGCATGTTAGTTCCTTTCCACAACCTGGTTGTTGCACATCTGTTAACATACTACTGAAGTGAATGGTAGAAGCCAGGAGAAAAGGTTTTCTCACACTGTGGCTCTGACTCTACATTTGTACCTGGTTGAAGAAACCCTGAAGGGCTTTACAGACCTTACATTCTTTTTATTTATTTATGTTTTAGATGAGCCTCTTGCTTCAGCCACCTGAATAGCTAGAACTCTAGGCGTGCACCACTGTACGTGGCTACAGACGCTACACCCTTCTCCTTGCCTGTGTCTTTGAGTGTGCTTATGAACTTAGTCCGATATCTGTATAGTTATTGTTCTTCCCATTTCCATGATTCTATCTTCAAACAGTCTCTGACTACTTGCTCTCTAAAGGTGGAACGAATCAAGGAGCTCTGCGACAGCCAAAGACTCTGAGTTAGAAACTATCAATAGGCTGATGTAGAGAAAGAGTGATAAGCTGGGATGGGATATTCAGTCTCGGTAAGGTAAAAAGGCTGGTGTTTTTAGAAGAAAGGATTTCCCTTCCTTGGCTTCTCTAGTGAAAACTGGTTGGAGTGAAGAAGTTAAGGGGAAGATGCCTGTGGCCAGTGCCTTAGAGGGATCCACCCCTATATCTCCGGTCACTTTGGTGAGGGGCTGCAGGGCTTTTACCGTGCCGCGGCAGAAGGCGCTCTTGCGCGATCGCCATACTGGCTGCGGGAGCGCAGCGACGCTCTAGTCTCTTTTCTCTGTGGCACCCCGGCAGCTTCTTTGGCCTCTGCAGCATTGCGGGTTTTCCGGCAGGGGAGAAAACGCCAACTTGGCACGCATCCTCCGGGACCGAGGCATGGCACGGCTCCCGAAGCTCGCAGTCTTTGATCTGGGTGAGGAACGGGCAGGAATAATTTCGTAGGGCATGCTCCTTTTCCCTCGCCAGCGGCAAGCCGACTTCTTGCGCACCCCAAGGCTGAACCTCCCTCGCTCTTCCTCTCGTAGATTACACGCTGTGGCCTTTCTGGGTCGACACGCACGTAGACCCCCCATTTCACAAGAGCAGGTGAGGCAGGGTATCGGAGGACTAGGCGAGTTGCGACGCCGCCGGAGCTGAGTGTTTTCTCATCCTCTCTAGTGATGGAACTGTCCGGGATAGTCGGGGCCAGAACGTTCGGTTGTACCCGGAGGTGCCTAAGGTCCTAGAACGGTTACAGGACCTTGGGGTGCCCGTCGCTGCGGCTTCCCGGTAAGACGAGGGAGTGATAACAATCCCTGTAAATGCTGAAGGATTCATGCATGGGGAAACATTTCACATAACCGCTTGAGTACTAAAATTTAGGGGGTGCAAATTTCAGATTATGTGCATATTTTTCCTAGTTGTACATCCTCCTGTGCATTTTGGTTACTAAACGTGGGCTAACCGCCAGCTATGGTCAAACAGAAGTCTGTGGAGTTGAATGAGGGCAGAGGAAGCCTAGCCTTCCTGGAAAAACAGCAAAGTGGTTTCCCCCTGGTTATATTTAACTTTGCTTGCAGTTCTTCAAGACTTGGCCTTTCACTCTCCTATCCCATCTATTATACCTTTCTACAGGACAGGTGAGATAGAAGGGGCGAACCAACTACTGGAGCTCTTTGACCTTGTTAGATATTTTGCTCATCGGGAAATTTATCCGGGCAGCAAAGTCACACACTTTGAGAGGTAGGCGGAGATAAGGGTAGGAGCCAGCAGGGAGCGTACCAGAGAGGCCAAGATTCCAGCTTGGTTACCCCTGCTCTTTCTTGCACAGGTTGCAGCAGAAGACTGGGGTTTCTTTCGCCCAGATGATATTCTTCGATGATGAGAAGCGAAATATTGTAGATGTTGGTAAACTGGGTATGAGCAATGAGGAGAGCCATTTGGGGAATGAGAAGAAAGTGTTCCTAAGAGGGTATTAGGTAGTTATGTGCAGGGTGGATGGTCTGCATGACAGGTGACACCCACAAAAGGTGAGTAATAATGGAAAGGCCTAAAAAAGCTGATGAAATGTGACTTATTTTCCTTATAGGTGTTCTCTGCATTCATATTCAGAATGGAATGAGTCTTCAAACCCTAGCCCAAGGGTTAGAAACATTCACTAATTCTCAAGCTGAGCACTGAGGTCCAGCCCTGTGTATGAGCCTCATTTGAAGCCTAAAATGGAAAGGAAACGGAGAAGGCATTTTTTTCAGGTGCATTTGCAATTTATTAAAGTGTATCTATGTGTGGGTTGTTTTTATTTTTCTAGTGTGTGAACTGGGGCTGGTTGTCGTCCTGAGGTGCCCAGAGTGGAGTGTGAGACAGGTTCTGCCATATAGATTGTGGCAGCCCAAAGGTTGTGACCCCTTCATTCTGGAACCCATCCCCACGCCATTTACTGAGAGGGCCTGAAGAATTTTCCCACTACCCCAATGGTGGGTTCTATTATGCTGTACGTTCCCTTCCACGGAACAAAACCAGTTTTAGTAGAAAGTGAAGCGGCCGCTTTAAGAGGAGCGCGTCAACCTGGGGATGGTGGCCCTGGTCACATGACAGCAGTGGTCTACTTTGCGCCTGTTGATGATGTCGCCCCGGCGCCTTAAGGAGGGATTGGCCAAGGCCGGCCTACTTGCCAGGAGCGAGGCGGAAGTGCAGGGCACGCCGAGGGGCGGAGGCGGGAGAGGCGAGGACGCAATGAGTGGGCTCGGCAGACTCTTCGGGAGGGGTGAGATTGGGCCGCCTGGTCGGAGTGGGGGTGGGGGCGGCCGCGGCGCCCCGCCGGGGAAAAGCCTCAGGAGTCCGGCGGACCGAAGACACCGGCCCGAGTTGAAGCCAGACTCATCTCTGGTGCCAATAGGCCCCGCCTAGTCTGGGCGCCTTGCTCCCTCCCGCTTGTCTTCCAGGATCCCTAAATCTTGAGCTTGTGGTCAGAGAGGGGACGTGAGTGGAGAGCATGGCGACTGAGCTGGTTCCCACCACACAGGCTGGGGGTTACTAATTTCCAGCAGCCTCTATCCAGTCCTTTCCAAAATACTGATGGTTACTTAGCTGGGCAATCGAGACCTAAGGTGAAAGACTACCTTCTGGAAGCTCATGTCAAGGGGAACACAGGCCATTTGTGTAGTATAGCAACTCAATAATAGACATTCCTAAAAGACTAGGGAAGCACAGAAGTCGGTGTCGGCGGTGTCCCACCAGGCTAGCAGTTTGCCATGTGGAGTACTGAGATACTCCAGATGTGGTAACAGGCATCACAAAACATAGGCAGGAGAGATATATATGGGGGAAAAGTTTTGGCTGCCGCAGTGTATGTGATTAGAAGAGGGGAGAAAAGTAAAGGGAAGGCCTTCGGTCTCCCTAGAAAGTTTTGGATTTTGTCCTGTAGGTAATGGAGAGTAGGGAAGGATTTTGCCCAGGGAAAGGTATTAGATTTCTATTTGGGAAAATGAATGTTGTATAGAAGATGAAGGGAGAAACTAATTTTTTTTCCCCTCTAGCCTTTTGTACTTCATTTAGTTTGATATTGTGGAATTAGGATCTTTGGCATCTCCTAGGACAGCAAATGAAAATAGTGGTTATTAAAAGTGACTGGAGGGGCTGGGGCTGAGGCTCAGTGGTAGAGCGCTTGCTTAGCATGTGTGAGGCACTGGATTCAATCCTCAACACTACATAAAAAATAAATAAAGGTATTTTTAAAAAAAAGTGACTGGAGTCAGTTGAGTGCAGTGGTGTAGGCCTGTAGTCCTAGCTACTCAAGAGGCCGAAGCAGGAAGATCGTAAGTTCCAGGCTAGCTTTGACAACTTAAACCCTGTCTTGAAATAAAAAATAAAAAGAGCTGGGGATCTAGCTCAGTGGTACAGCATTCTGAGCTCAATCCCCAGTACCGCCAAAAGGGGTGGTGGTAGCTGGAAATTACTTCAAACCACAAAAAGAGTATTGGCTTTCAAAGTCATTGTGCCACATTTTGGATTCCTACTAAACTTCTTCTTGTGATTTTAGACAAAAAAATAAAAAATAACACCTTTGTGCCTGTTTTCAGATTTTTAAAGTGAAGATAGTATACTCATTGTAGAGAATCATTTAGAGATTAAGAGTCAAGTGCTTGACACATACTGTGCACTCAACAATTGGTGGGTAATAATTTTCTTTAACACAACATGGGTCTGTGTTGCACTGGACTCTTCAGGGAAGAAGGAAAAGGGGCCAACCCCTGAAGAAGCAATACAGAAACTGAAGGAGACTGAGAAGATACTGATCAAAAAACAGGAGTTTCTGGAACAGAAGATTCAGCAGGAGCTACAAACAGCCAAGAAGCATGGGACCAAGAACAAAAGAGGTAATAAGGGAAAGGAGCCACTGGGGAGGGCCCAGGTGGGAATTAGGTATTTCTGACTCTGATGTTCAGGATGTGGGCTGGTTCAGCTGCCCTGCAGGCTTTGCGGAGAAAGAAAAGATTGGAACAGCAGCTGGCACAAACCGATGGAACATTATCCACCCTGGAGTTTCAGCGTGAGGCGATTGAGAATGCCACCACCAATGCAGAAGTGCTTCGTACTATGGAGGTTGCTGCCCAAGGCATGAAAAAAGCCTACCAGGACATGTAGGTACGGGGCAGAGGAGGAGAGTACCTATACACTGGGAAGGATGGTTTGGGATTATACTTTCAAGGTTTTTTTGGTTTTGGTAACACTGGGGATTGAACTCAGGACCTTCCACATGCGAGGCAAGCACTCTTACCAGAGCTATACCCACAACTTAACACTTTCAACTTTAAAGCCTTTCAGAATATGAACTTGTGTAAACTTCTTGTGATAAGAAGACTTGTCTGCCTCCTTGATTCCTTCAAGAAAGATCCTGTTGCTGGGCCATTCTAGGGAGAAAAGATGATTTCTTTAATTTTTAAAGATCATTAGCACAGCCTGTGCTTTCCATTGTGGCTTTTTGCTGTTCTTTGGCCCAGACTTGATTCTACCTTTTTCCTGCCATCAATTTATTAGTATGAGGCCATAAGACAGAAGGGTTTCATTTATGTGATATAAGGAATTCAGGGTAGGGGTACATCTTCACTGTACATCTTGTTCTCAGGGACATTGACAAGGTAGATGAATTGATGGCTGATATCACAGAACAACAGGAACTGGCCCAGGAGATCTCAGATGCCATTTCTCGGCCTGTGGGCTTTGGAGATGAAGTGGATGAGGTAACTGGGGGTGAGGGGTCAGGGACTATTAGAGAAGCTATGAGATTGGCCAGAATGAATGCCCAAGAGAAGGAATTTCAAAAGTGATCTGTTTGAAAGTTGAAATTTCTTTTCTTGGTCTGTAACTTTTTTGTCATCCCATATCCAGGATGAATTATTGGAAGAGCTAGAGGAACTAGAGCAGGAGAAATTGGCCCAGGAGTTGTTAAATGTGGGCAATGAGGAGGAAGAACCCCCAGTCAAATTGCCTAGTGTACCTTCTACACATCTGCCTGCAGGGCCAGGTAAACAGGACTGTTTGTTGTCTGGAAGACTTGATGATGTGGGGAGATATGGGGCAAAATTGTTCCCCATCCATCCTGCCACATATGCAGGTTGTTGACTGTGTAATAGCATCCGACTAAAAGGGAGTGTGGATGAAATCCAGAATCCAACCTGTGCTCCACTCAGTGGAGTACGGCAAGCTGTGTACCCTGCTTTAGGGATGCAAATGCTGGGAACAAAAGGAAGCTTTTTCTAATTTGCATTAAGGTGCTGTGGGAATGAGTAACAGCGGCAAGCAGGACTACACACCTTTAGGTTCTTTGCTGGGGGGAGACACTTCAGTAGGCTCCAGGGTTCACAGTAGGGCATAGCTAGAAGTTACTGAGGCTTTAACATTTCTCCTTTCTTTTTCTGGGTGCCCTTGTCCTCAAAGCTCCCAAAGAGGATGAAGATGAAGAACTAAAACAGTTGGCTGAGTGGGTATCCTGAATCTGGGTTTGTCCTCCTCCTGCTGCCTTCATTGGTCCCTTTTCCTTAAGTGCCAAATGCCAAGCTAAAGAAGCACAGCTTTTTTGGGAGGTCTTGCTGATGTGGTAGTATGCCTGTATGAGAAAGGGACCTGTTGCCCTTCCATCCCTGGCTGAACGCTGAAGGATCTTGCTGCAGGGGCCCCTGGGCTCCATTCTCTTTGATAGCAGTTACAGTGCCCTTGTTATCAATAAAATTGGGTAGATGGATCACCAGTGTCTATACTCTCTCACGTACACTTGAAACTCTTCTCTGGTTCTTAAAGCTGTTTTAAGCACTGAACATGTGAACAATGAGTCACGAAAAGGGGTTGGAACATAGAACAAATGGGTGTTTCTAATATCTCAACATGTATTCTAGGGAAACAACTTTACCCTTGAAGTTGGTTTATCCTAAAGGTGCCTAGTGTTGAGGCAAACTTCCATGGAGCTGTCTCTAGTGTTAACTGCTTTTCTCAGTCATGACTTCCCCATTTTCCTTTGCAAAGTATATTTCAAGGACAGGGAGGGAGAATACAGGGATAGATAGAGCAAGTAGCTTTTCTTTATCTAGAACTCACTAGTTCTTAGCTTTCATAACGAGAAGACTTGGTGTGACTTGAAGACTCTTGTCACTTCTATGTCTGGGAGCAACAGTACAAGGAGTCCTGACTCCCTGGTATTATTTCAATAGTAGTTAAGGTGGCACTGAAGGAAAGAGGAGCCAAAGTACTCAATATGGCCTAATACTCATTTGTGAAAGAACATATAATGCTATCATTTTGGACTATAGATAGGCAGAACTATAAAGTAGAGCTTTTGTCCCAACCACTTCTTGAACATTAAGTGCATACTTAATTGGGTATTAATCTGAGTATCTGACACCCCCCCCCAACACACACACCCACCACCCCCATGAGCTGCATTGAATTATTGTTGACCTGCAAAAGTGTCAAGATTACTGGTTACAGGATCTGGCCAGAAAATCCACCCTAACTGATGAAACTGTCAGAATTAGATTTATTTTTGGTATAAAAGCCCCAGACCCTCCTACTTTGCTCCTCTCAGCACCTTGCCTTAGTTATTTTCAGGTCCTGACTTCCAAAGACTGGCGACGACGATTACTGTTGTCGGGGGACTGGCACATAGCCTCAAGTAACCTGATCTCATATGTGGGTTGCTCAGGCTGGAATTTGACCACCCAGGGATCCTTGAGGATGTCCAGGATGGTGGCACGCTTGGTAGCTGGGCGTAGCATCCGGACGACCAGGTTCTATGGAAGAGAGAGAGGTCTTGGCTGAGCTTGCCCCCCATTGTGCCACACAGGCAATGAGCAGTTGGACCTAAGAAAGAAGCAAGATAGCCCATCACACCACTCTGGTGAAAGGGGGTATGGTCCTGCTTTTATGCTAGAGAGCCAGACATTTTCTGCAAGAGAAGGGAAGAATTGGGGTAGGATGGGGGAATCTCTTGCATAATCCCCTTCTGGCCTAAAGGAATAGAAGCTGGAACCACTTTATCAAGCATCTGTTTGGAGCCCAGTGGTAGACCCTTTAAGCCCTCCCCACTATATACTTAAGAGTGTGAGATAACCCAGTTGGAATAGCCTTCCCCAGGATTGGAAGGCCTAGGTTCACTCTTCCCTGTGGGTCATCCCTAAGGCCTCAGCCCTCCTGGGGGAGCCAGCACCTTGCACTCCTGGGAGATGGTGCAGTTAGATGGGAAAGTGACCTCCTTCTGAGTCTCTTTCAGCAGCTTCTTGAGATTGGTGTCATCAAAGGGCAGATGGGCGACCACTAGAGTGTAGAGGATGACGCCCATGCTCCAGGTGTCAGACAGGAAAGGATTGTAGGGCAAGCCCAGCAAGATCTCGGGGCAGGCATAAGCAAAGCTGCCACAGTAGGTCTGGCTGAGGTGGGAAAATAAGTTCACTTGGCGGTAAGAAGAGCTACTACGCATAGGCTGGTTAGAAGGCACCATCTTGGAGAAGCCGAAGTCCGATATCTTCACATTCTCCCGCTTGTCCAGCAACAGGTTCTCCAACTTTAAATCCCTACTAGCAGCAGAAAGGCTGGGGGTCAGGCTGGGGAGAGGGCTTAGTATTAGACCGGGAGCTGAAGGGCCAGGGGTCAGAGGCTAGAGATGAGGAGAGGCAAAGTGGGAGGTATAGACCATTATGGGAGCACAAGGTAGTAAGGAAGGCCATGTAGCTGTGAGCAGAGCCTAAAGGAAGAGAGAGAGGATGGTACCTCAGGACCACTGGGAGTGTGAATATAGTGAGTACTTTACAAATGTCCTTGACCAGTGATTAACAGAATGGATGAATGGGCCTAGATGTTGAGGAGAGAGGTTAAGGGAAGGAAAAAAAAAAGAGCAGCAAATGGATGATATGCATAAAACCCCCTTGGGATCCCAAAGGTCGCAGTCTGGGTGGCTATGCCCTCACCGGTGCACGATGCCCTTGCTGTGCAGGTATGCGATACCCAGGGTCAGCTGGGAGAACCACTTGCCAGCAAGGGGCTCAGAGCAGGCCCCAAAGCGCTGGATCCATTCAAGGACATCACCACCTTGAGCCAGCTCCAAAACGATGTACACTCGGGATGTTGTCTCAATGGCCTGATAGAAGTTGATGAGGTACTTGTGCCGCAAGACTTTCATTACCTGACCCCAGAAGAGGGAACCATCAAACCTGGGAAAGGAGAACCCTGTCTATACTCCCAACCCTCTCCTACCTTCCTGCTGCAACTTACTTAGAACTCCACAATAGAATCAACCCCTCAACTCCAGAGCACTGGTGGACTGTGAGTAAACCCTATTTTGCATTTTTACTTACTGGGAGGCTGGAGGCAAGTGAGCAGATGGGAAAGAGTTTGAATATATATTAAGGAATTTTCCCAGTTGCTTAGATGTTCAGATCTGATTTGGGGATTTGGGGCTCTACCTGCTCCTAGTCATACCCCTTTTAAGAAATCTCAAGTCATTTAGTTATGAGTTTCCAGCCCTTTCTGACCTGTATCTCACGGGGCAAGAACTTGTTAAGATAGTCTTCAGAGGCCTTCTTCTTTGAGATGATCTTGACAGCCACCATGACCTTCTGCTTTGTGTAGTAAGCCTCATACACAGTCCCATAGGAGCCATTGCCAATGACCTTGCCCACCTCATAACCATACTCTTCCATGACAGAGCGATAGGCTGCGGTGGGTGGTGCTGACTCCATGGTGTCTCCCTTCATGATTTTGGGTTTGCTTAAAGTAAGGAGTTTTGCTACTTAAGATGCCTCTGTCTTTTCAGAGGCCAACACCTTGAGCCATTGATGGCTAAGGGACCAAAATCAAGTTGAGACTTTGAATGCTTGCATATATAGTCACACAAGTCTGGGATGCTGGGCTCAGTCCTCCACTAAGAACTTGGAGTGGGAAAGAACAGAGAAGCAATTCTTTTTGTCTCCACTGGCTGTTGTTACTTCTTCCTTCTCTTAGTTACGGAATTTCCTAAGATCCCAAGTTCTGTACACATCACAATCCACTTTCTATCCATGATTACTGGCCACAAAGCTTGAGAATGTGTGGTTTGGAACATATTCATTCATAAGGGCATGTTCTGCAATCTGGTGAGACTCCCCTACGGAGACTCCCCATTACTTCAGATTTACTGAGCACTTTCTATGTGCCATGTGCTGAACACTAAATTAATCAATAAGGTCAATAGCAACCCTATGTATCTAGACTTTATAATTCAGCAAGACATACATGAGCATATTATGAAGAACTACTAGGTGTTAAAGCTCATTCCAGGATTTTTTTTTTTAAATCGGGAATTGTACACAGGAGGCTTAACCACTAAGCCATATCCTCAGCGCCCCCCACCCCCCGCCGTGTTTCTAAATTTTATTTTACAGATAGGGTCTCACTGATTTTCCGAGGCTGGCTTTGAACACCTAATCCTCCTGCCTCAGCCTCCTGAATTGCTGGGATTACAGGCCTGCACCACCATGTCTTGCTCATTCTAGAAACTTAACACTGAAAGGCATTCTTGCTTTTCAGGACCCTGAATTTTCTAGTTTTTTTATGCTTCTGGTCATTCCTTCCACAGGAGCCTTATCTATCTTTTTTTTTCCTCTCACAGTGCTGAGGGTTGCACCCAAGGCTTTGTACATGTTAGGCAAACAATCTACCACTGAGCTACAGCTCCTCCATCTATTCCTTAATCGTATCCCAAGCCCAATTATCTGAGATCTCCACATCCTTTCTTAAGGATCTCATCTTTAATTACCAAGGCTTTAATTACCACGTTTATGCTGACTGCTTCTTTTTTTTTAAATTAACTTTATTTTTCTTATATATAATCCTATGGATTTTTTTTAAAGAGAGAGAGAGAGAATTTTTAATATTTATTTTTCAGTTTTTGGAGGACACAACATCTTTGTTTGTATGTGGTGCCGAGGATCGAACCCAGGCCGCACGCACGCCAGACGAGTGTGCTACCACTTGAGCCGCATCCCCAGCCTCATGCTGACTGCTTCTAATCTCATCTGCACCTCAGATATCTCTGTGGTTTTGGATACATTGCCCACTTGCCTACTAGACATCACAGATATCAGACACCTCAAACTCATCATGCACAAAACTGAACTTCTTATTTTCATCTCTGACTTTTCCTTTCTGTAAGTTCTACACTAGTTGTATTTAGACACACAAATGTCATCCCAGATTCCCCTGCTGCTTTGGTCCCTATATCCAATCTATCACCAAGTCCTGTCACTCAAACCTCCTAAATATATCAACAATGTACTCATGGTTCTCCAAGTACACCATTCCTCCCTTACTTCAAGCCTCAATCATTCAACTGATTATCCTAGCAAGTCTCTGCTCCCCTAAGTCTGTCTATTCACTGAAGTCCATGGGATAAATCTGATTTTCTTCCCATTTAGAACAATTCCATGTCTTCTTATTCACCTTGGGATTGTTTCTTTTCTCTTTCTTTTTTTTTTTTTTTTTCCATTTGGCTTTAAGATAAACCTGCCCACTTCTCCAACTTTTATTTTTGGTACTGCATACTAAGGATTAAACCTAGGGATGCTTTACTACTGAGTTACATCCTCAGTCCTTTTTATTTTTTAGACAGGGTCTCACTATGTTGCTGAGACTGGCCTCAAACTTTCCTTCCTTAGTCTCCCAAGTCACTCGATTAAAGGCATGCACACCTCACTTGGTGCTCCAACTTTCATCTTTTAACGCACACATAACAATGCGCCAACCAAACAGAACTGCTTTTCCATCTTTGTTCTGTTTGCCTGGAAAACTCCTATTCTTCTTTCACTAAGTTTGGGATTTTTTTTTTTTTTTGGTCTTGCTTAGTGGTAGTGGGTGGAGGTTGAAGTCCAGAGCCTTGTGTATGCTTGGCAGGACAATTCCCACTGCCCTTTCCTAAATGAGATAGGTTTACTAAGTTGCCCAGGTTGGTCTCAAACTACTGTTTCAGCCTCCTGACCAGCTGTGACTATGGTGTGGAGCTGTTTTTAGGAAGCCTTTATTGACAGCTCAAGGTTAAGTTAGTTCTGGGTACGCTCACAGCTCTGATACTTTCACTGTCACAGCACCCAAATAGTAGGCAAAACTGATTTTGTTTGTATCTCCTATGAGGCTAAGCAGGGAGTCCAGTGATGCAAAGAAAGTTGAAGTCAGAGGTTTGAAAAGAATGAATTGTAGAGAATGGAAAGGACCTGGTTTAGAAATGAGCAGTGACTGGTTAGCAATGAAAGTCCAAGCGAGGCTGGAAAAGAAAACTTAAGAGACATACAATGTTGAGATTCTTTTAGCATCTTAGCCATAGGTGCTTGAATACTGGTGGATAATTCATCTAAGATTACAGTTTTGTTTGGCAACTAAAATGAAATAATGGTAGAGACACCAAGGGCACAGGCAAGAATGGGGTCACAATAATGGAATGTGGAATCTACACTATATAGGTAAGGAAGACAAGCTAGAAACAGACCAAAAGGGCAGAAGGATAGGTTGCAGGTCTCAGTGGAATGGAAGAACAAGTTTGGTGGAAATGACAGTGAGGAGGACAGGAGGCTGTAGTTCCAGGCTCTTTGGATTTAAGATGGGAGGGGTGGGCAGGAAAGAGCAAAGATTTAGTCTCATGTCTTCCATCCCCCAAAACAAAACAAAAAGAACAGATTATGCCACAGGCTACTGGTAAAATTCCCCTACTGACAGTCTGACCCTGCTGGCAGTATAGTTACAAAGTTCTGCTGGAAGTCAGCTCTACATCCTCAATCTATCAAGGCACACCAATGGTAAGAAAGCCTGTCTTTTGCTCCCACAAAACTGGTCCCTGGATAGATAGGTACCTTGGTAATAGCTCTAGTCCCTCACGTGTTTAGGAAGTAAAACAGTTCACTCAAGGAGCATGTATTAAGCTGCCTAGTATATATGAAAACATTGCTAGATCCTGAAGATACAAAAACAGATATATCAGTCTCCTTTGAGGAGTTAGCAATTAACAAGGGATTTTATATAAATAAAATGACGGTACAGAGAGATGAATTGCTATGAACAAACCTGGAAGGAGAGGGGAAAGAAGGCTTTATAGAGATGGTGTTGTTTGTACTGCCCCCTATATCCCCCACCTCCCAAAAAAAGTTCTCCAGGCAGGTAAATAGGAAATGGTAGATTGGGCAGTCTATGCAGGAAGAACATATTTGAGGCCTGCAGGCTTGAGAGAACACCATGTTCAGGATTTGAACTCAACTGCAGGACAGAATTCCAGAAAGGGACTATACCTTAAGAAATTCTAGGGCTGGGGATGTGGCTCAAGCGGTAGCGCGCTTGCCTGGCATGCGTGCGGCCCGGGTTCGATCCTCAGCACCACATACCAACAAAGATGTTGTGTCCGCCGAGAACTAAAAAATAAATATTAAAAAAAAAAAAAGAAATTCTATCTATCTATCTATCTCAGAACTAGAATACGGTCTGAGAGGATTCATATGTTAAGCTATTTATACTTTATCTCATATACTCAGGGTCAAATCTTGTTGTGCATCAAGATTGGAGTTTGTTCAAAAAAATAAAAAAGCTGACATACAGCATGCCCTCCCCTGAGATACAGATTTTTAAAGATCCTTCCAGTAGCAGTGTGAGGGTGACCACACTATCAAGATGGCTGATACAGTAACTGAGGTGAGAGAGGATGGAGCTCTTTCCAAAGAAATGGTGGAAAGCAAGTATTGGAAGATATTTGGGCAATAAGTAGAGGGAATTTAATGACACTGATATTTGGGAGAATTGAGATCAAGGTCCTATTTCTGATTTGAGACACCAGGTAGTTGTGATGATTTCAACTGGACCAATGGTGAATGCCCATAATCCTAGTAGTCAGGAGGCTGAGCTCAAAGGCAGCCTCAGCAACTTATCAAGGCCTTAAGCAACTCAGGGAGACCCTGTAGCAAAATAAGGTATTTAAAAAAAATTATTTCCAAGTTACTGTAAGTTGCTTGGGGGGGGGTGGGTACTGGTGCTTTATCAACTGAGCTACATTACCTAGACTTTTTTATTTTTATTTCTTAATTTAGGACAGGGTCCTGCAAAATTTCTGAGGCTGGCCTCAAATTTGGGCCCAGCTTATAAATTACTTTTGTAGTTACAAAAATCATTCATTATTGAGTCTGTTCCGTGCTGCACATCTGTAGTCCCAGTTCCTCAGGCCGCTGAGGCTGGAGGATCACTTGAGCCCCAAGTTCCAGGCCAGAATTTGGGAAACATAGCAAGACCCCTTTGGGGGGCGGGGAAAGAATGACAAGAAAAATCATAGTCTAATAAACTCAAACCCCTACTTCCTAGAACTTCACCTGTTTATAGGGAGAAAGGCTGAGTCAGAGAGAGCAATGACAGAGGTGGGTAAATAAAGGAATTCTGAGGCCTGAAACCTCTTAGGATTTTTCACAGTACTTCTTTCCCAGGGGAGAGAGAACTTTAAGTCAACTTCCATACAAGTTATTCCCAGGTAGCCAAGCATAAGTCATTGCCTAGAGGTCGGACTTCCGGAAATAACTCCCCTGACTGCAGAGCCCATTTAAAAATAGCTGAGACAAGCAGGTCCTAATTACATGCCTGTAATTCCGGTTGGGGGCTGGGGCAGGAGGATCACAAGATCTAGACCTGTCTGGGCAACCTAGCGAGATCTTATCTCAAAATAAGATAAAATAAAAAGGACTGGGGCTGTAGTTCAGTGGTAGAGCATGGGGAATGGGGGTTACATCCCAGTACTAAGAACAAAAGCTGAGGCAGACAATGACGACGTTTTTCAAGATAATAAGCATACAAAATTAAGAGAATCCCAAATAATGCACCTAGAGCATGTATCTAGAGATCTAAGCACAAACGTATCTAGAGAGACGAAAAGTCAACAAGATTCTTTACCTCCAATTAAAAACCCTATAAGCAGCCCAACTCGCCGATGGAAGTGAGACACCCTATCTCCGCGTGCCTCTGCACCTGACCTGGCTCTGGCCTACTTATCGCCAGGCACTGAATAGTCGTCGTACGGCCAGGGAAGCCTCCAGCAGCTTTGGGAAAACACTTCAAATATTTATCATTCTTACGCGGAGCCACTGTTGATAGGTGGAAGGAATGAGGCTATTCAGGCGTAGTATCCTTGCATGAGACCGACGTGCAAATCCTCACCCAGCTTGGGTTGGGGGCCACCAACCGCCTCCCAGGGCTCGCCCCGGCAGTCCCATTGGTTCAGCCCGCAAACGCTTCGGGGCGTCCACTGGACGGGGACTCAGCCACCGCCAATGCTCCATTTCAGGCCTCCGACCGCTCAAGCCAAAGGTGGGCGCTACCTGCCCGGGCTCTCGCGCCCTAAATCTTCCTGGGGACAGGCGGACGGCGACTCTTATCCCGAAAGGATGTTGCATGCTAAGTACCAGGCCTTGGTAGAATGCAGTCCGCGAAACAAATGCACTGCCCCAGGAGCAAGAGACCCGCTAGGATCCAGAAAGGAACCTTCCGCCGGGCTGAGGTCCCCGCCCGTGAAGACGGAAGTGGTAAGACTGACGTGTCCTGGGCTGCTCTCCTGAACGCCAGGAGGATTCCCCACCAGGCACGGGCGACCCCAGCTTCCTAGGATCCCCGGAGCTGGACCCGCGCCTCTGAGGACAACATAACTCCTTGGGGAGCACTTGACAGAGCCAAGTGCGGTATTCAGCGTGTAGCCGCAGCCTCCACGATCAGGCGCAGCCGCGGACAACCCCCTGGAGGTCGGTCATCAGGTCCTCTCCAACCCTGCTGCTCCCGCGCCGCCCTGGGGGAGACCCCGGCAGGAGCCCAAGGGCAGCTACGGGGCCGCAGAGCCCGCTGGCGCCGCCTTGGGCAGCCCTTCCCGCGTGGTGAGGACCCCAAAACTGTGGCGGGAAGCGACCCGAGCTGCGAGGCCGCGCGGCGTTGCCATGGAAACAGGCTAGCGCGCGCAATAGAGGCTCCCGGCGGGCGGCGGGAGGGATGAACCCCTGGTTGGGAGGACTAGAGAGGAGGCCAAGCCCGGTCTTTGGGGTAGAGAGATGTGGTGTGGTGTGGGGGTCGGGAGGCCAAAATGGGCGTCCATTCGAGGGACCTAACCCGGGGCATCATGAGTTGACCCCTAGTTTCTGTAACCGTAGGATTCCCCCAAACAGGTTCTGCTACCTTAAGGATGACAGTTCTAGGACAACCTCGAAGTTGGAGCTGCCAGTGGTTGCCAATCCTGATACTGCTACTGGGCACCGGAGGTGGGCCAAGGGTAGAAGGTGTGACACACTACAAGGCTGGAGACCCTGTCATTCTATATGTCAACAAAGTGGGACCTTACCATAACCCTCAGGAAACTTACCACTACTATCAGCTTCCAGTCTGCTGCCCTGAGAAGATTCGTCACAAAAGCCTTAGCCTGGGTGAAGTGCTGGATGGGGACCGAATGGCAGAGTCTTTGTATGAGATCCGCTTTCGGGAGAATGTGGAGAAAAGAATTCTGTGCCACATGCAACTCAGTTCTGCACAGGTTAGCCTCTACATTGGTTATTACGTAGCCCAGGAGTTATTCCCAGGGACCAACAGTGCCTCGCATTTATGGTTCAAGTGTACCTTTATGAACATTATCTGACTTGATTCTAACTACAACCCTGTGGGGCAGACAGGGCAAATGATAGTATTCTAATTCAGTTGACTAAGAAGTGATTTATTTGCTCAGAAGTGACTTCTTAAAGACTGGCTAATGAATTGCAAAGCTGATATTACTAGAGCTCTTTGCTCCTACTTTCTCTGTTGATAATAAGGTCCCAACTATTATTTCTAAGTAGTTCTTTCCTTCCATACCTACCCCTTAGCTCTTTCTTGATTGGCTCCTTTACTCTACCCTAGTCTTCCAGTCATGGTTTTTCTTTGGCAAATTCTGGCACTTCTTCTTAGTCTACTCCAGTCTTACACCTTGCCTCTTAAAAAAAAAAAAAAAAAAAGCCTTAACCCTGTCAAAGTAGTATCTGTATCTGCTAGGGTGTGTGTGCACAACATACTTGAGTTTAACTCAGTCTCTACAGGATTTTGTCCCCCAAGAGACATTTGGCAACATCTATAGACATTTTTTATTGTTACAACTGGGAAGTACTACTAGCATTTTGTGAATAGAGACCAGGGATGCTGCCCACCTCCCAGCCCTCCCAACAGCAAAGAACTACCCAGCACAAAATATAGGTAGTGCTGAGACTGAGAAACCCTGCTGTAATCCCAGGCCTGGGAAGACCTTGTGTGATTGTCTCCTAACTTGCTCTTTATAGGTGGAGCAGCTGCGCCAGGCCATTGAGGAACTGTATTACTTTGAATTTGTGGTAGATGACTTGCCAATCCGTGGTTTTGTGGGATACATGGAGGAGAGTGGCTTCCTGCCACACAGCCACAAGATAGGACTCTGGACCCATTTGGACTTCCACCTAGAATTCCATGGTGATCGAATTATATTTGCCAATGTTTCAGTGCGAGATGTGAAGCCCCACAGCTTGGATGGGTTACGATCTGATGAGTTCCTAGGTCTTACTCACACTTACAGTGTGCGCTGGTCTGAGACTTCAGTGGAACGACGGAGTGACAGGCGCCGTGGTGATGATGGTGGTTTCTTTCCCCGAACACTGGAAATCCATTGGTTGTCCATCATCAACTCTATGGTGCTTGTGTTTTTACTGGTGGGTTTTGTGGCTGTCATTCTAATGCGTGTGCTTCGGAATGATCTGGCTCGATACAACCTGGATGAGGAGACCACCTCTGGAGGTTCTGGTGATGACTTTGACCAGGGTGACAATGGCTGGAAAATTATCCATACAGATGTCTTCCGCTTCCCTCCATACCGTGGTCTGCTCTGTGCAGTGCTTGGTGTGGGTGCCCAGTTCCTGGCCCTTGGCACTGGTGAGGTGATAAGAATTAATGTGGGATTTATCTCAAGGGATAGGTAGTTTATTAGAATAGGTCTTTGGATCTTCTGTTCAAGGTGAAGGGCAGACCTAAGGGTTAAGGTGGCTCTAGTGAGGATGTGTATTTTATTGCTGGCTTTCTGGACAACTGAATTTGGGGAAGATAGTTTTGCTGGCAGTGGTGGGTCTGGGAGAAGGGTTGTGATTCCTTTGAAACTGCAAGAGGAACTGAAGAGTAAGACCTAACATAGGCTTTCCACTACCACCCTGTAGGCATTATTGTCATGGCACTTCTGGGCATGTTCAACGTGCACCGTCATGGAGCTATTAACTCAGCAGCCATCTTGTTGTATGCCCTGACCTGCTGCATCTCTGGTTACGTGTCCAGCCACTTCTACCGGCAGATTGGAGGCGAGCGCTGGGTGTGGAACATCATTCTCACCACCAGTCTCTTTTCTGGTGAGGACTTCCCCTTCCCTAGTGGGTCTGCCTGAACTTGGGAACTAAGAACACATCTTGGAACCTGGAAAAGTCAGAGTGAAGCTTTAAAGGAAAGAATATGGGGGTGGAGAGAATTAGGAAACTATCAAAAAGAATCTATTTCTTTTGAATAAAAGTTAAGTCCTTAAAAAGTCCTAAGCAATGTAGTAAGCACTTGATGTCTTCAGCTCATTTAATCCTCACAATGTGTGTGAAGTAGGTAATGTTGTCCCCATTGTAGATGAGGAAACTGAACTTCATTCAGCTAGTTAGGTAATTTAGCCAAGATTATATCCAAAAGTAGAAAATCAGGTTTCAGATGCAGGCGATTTGAATCTCAAGCCTATGTTCTCAACCATTATACTTAAATAACACTCTTGAGTTTACTTTTTGATACTTCTTTTTATTTTGGAAGTATGGTCCCTCTAGCCTTTCAAACAAGATTGCCCTTTCAAAGGCAACAGATGTGTGCAATCTGAACCCTTCCTCTTCCCAATTTTGCATCTGACATATCCCACCTCAATTTTTTAATTTTTTTAGTTGTAGATGGACAGAATGCCTTGTGGTGCTAAGGATGGAACCCAGTGCCTCACACATGCTAGGCAAGCACTTTGCCATTGAGCTACAGACCAAGCCCCCCATCACATTTTTATTTGAAGTAGGACTTTCTGAAAACAGGGCCTTAATCCAAAGGAATATCTCATGGTAGAAATTACCAGTATTACGGCAAGACAGGCCCCTGAAGGCAGGTGGATTTGTGTCAGTCTCAGATTTTGATGAAGCAATTACCCTGATCCTTGATGACACTGGGTAGGGGGAGAGTGTTGAAAATATAAGGAATAAAGAACAGTGAGCACTAGGGATGTGGCTCAGTGGTAGAATACTTGCTCAGTACACACTAGACCCTGGGTATAAACCCCAGCACTCAAAAACAAAAACAAAAAACAATAGGATATAAAAGGGTGGAGGTAAAGGCAGTCAGCTCTGTACAGATATCCAGGAAAATAGGTGGGCTGTTAAGAGTGGCAGGCTGGTTCACTCTTCTCCCCTTTAGGTGCAGTTTGAGTGGGTGCCCCCAGGGACATAGCTCCTAGTGCTCACCCTCCTCTGGGGCCCATCCCTGCAGTGCCTTTCTTCTTGACCTGGAGTGTGGTGAACTCGGTACATTGGGCCAATGGCTCAACACAGGCCCTACCAGCCACCACCATCCTACTGCTTCTGACGGTCTGGCTGCTGGTAGGCTTTCCTCTCACTGTCATCGGAGGCATCTTCGGGAAGAACAATGCTAGCTCCTTTGATGCACCTTGTCGTACCAAGAACATCGCCCGAGAGATCCCACCTCAGCCCTGGTATAAGTCTACTCTCATCCACATGACTGTTGGAGGCTTCCTGCCCTTCAGGTATTCTGTCTTTATTCCATGGTCATCACTCTGTTCTTGACTTCAATTTTTCCTTTCCCTACCAACTCCCTACCATAACTCAATGATAATCCCTTGTTCAGCTGTACCACTACAAGCTCATTAAATAGTTCCTCCTATCCCCAAGCACAACTGAACTTCAATCAGTTCAGATGTCTCATTTGTAACACTCTCTTATTTAATAAATTGAATGAGTAATCAAATGGGCTTTAAGCCCCACGTGCTGCTAGTGTTTACAGGCATCATGTGGGGGTTTAGAGCCCATTTGATTACTCATTCAATTTGCTGGATATCTCTTTGTTCCTGACAGATGATGCAGTAGAAAATAAAACAGACAAGATCCGTCCTTTTGGGGCTGGGGATATAGCTCAGTTGGTAAAGTGCTTGCCTTACATGTACA